TTTTTTTTTTTTTTTTAAGATCATCTTGTGTCCAATTCTGTTTTATTACCTCTAGGGGCGTAAAACAATTTGATGTTATTCTAGGAAAAGTAATATTTTCTTTTTAGGTGGCTTCTGCTTTAGTAATTGTTTGACCAGCTTTCTAGTTAGCCACTAGCTGAAAGTCTCTATGGGGGAAAAACATCCCAGAATTTTCAGCTGGGTGAAACGCAGTGTAATCCATTGGTGTCTGAGAGGCTATTCAGACTGCAGATGTGAATTTTTTTTCTTCCCTGTCCGTTGTGCTATAGGAATTTCCTTATAAGTTAGTTAGAATACAGAAACACTCAAATATTTTTAATATTGCAATAATAGCCTGGGCTGACAGTTGATGCATATTCAGTTGATCTCCATTTCATCCAGATCTCAAACTTTAGTATTGTCAGGTATACTTTCGTGTTTTCAGGTTCGGTGTAATAATAGCTGCAAAGTGAATAGTGGCTTGGAGTGTAGTCTTATTATTACCAAGTTGCATGTTTTAAGCAGATTTCATAGTAAAGCATCTTTGCGTAGTGACATCTCCGAGACGCACATTCCCCTTTATTTTTATGATGGATAGTTTTGCCTGTTCCCCGGAACACGTGCACAGATTACACAGTGTCATTTGCGCTGTGTAAGAATATGCAATGGGCAGGGCAGAATGGGGTTTGAATTGAAGGTGCTGCCCACAAGTTCTGTAAAAACGGGCTTTTTCATGATGGTATTCTGCTTCCCTTGAAGGAAAGGATAGAGGACAGCCAGGCAACAAGGCTGCCTATGTGATATATCGCAGTAAGGAAGCAGGGTATAGGAGGCTTGCAGAGGGTTTATAAGAAAGCTAGCCCTCTGATCCCTTATCCTCAGAGGAGAGTAAAAACTACTTACCCCAAAGGGGCTGCATCTAAAACCTGCAGTGTATTGATTTAATTGCTCTCACTGATTAACTTACCAGTGCTGCAGGGGAGATGCTGTTCCAGTGCGGGTAGTTTTCATTTTCTTCCTAAGCCTATAAAACTAGTTTGCCTCTGATGATTCCCCAGACTGAAGAAGAGTAACAGTGTGATCTTTAAGATGCAAGGGAGCAAGGTGAAAAATAACTAGAGGGGAATAATAGTTACAACCTCATTTTACTTTTTTTCTAACATACAGAACTAGTTTTAAAAATGCATTTATTTACAAGACTGGAGATATAAACATTTCTTACTGTTCTGTTTGTTGCTGGTGATTGTCTTTTCTACTCAAATTACAGTTGCAGGCATAAAGCTACTGTTAGTAACCATTGTGATAGTAAAGGTTTCAGAATGTTATGTGTAAGCTTGTTCTTTCACACAGCACTGTCAGTGCTTAGAGAAGTTTTTTTTAATAAAATGTATTTCTCATTATTAATCAAAAAAAAAAAATCTGTTCTGAGCCTTGGTGTTCCGTGCAGTCTAAGCTCCTGCTATGTTGAAGGAATGGGCTCTGGTGCAGGTTTTATTCTGCTGTCATATTCAGTCGATAAGAATATAATGAGCACTTAAGAAATGGGATGATTCAGTAAAGCTTCTGTCTGTCTGAAGTCAGCTTTGCAAGCAAGACTGTCACTTTGAAAATGTAACGCAGCAAAAAATATCAATAATCTTTAAAATTAATGGTACCCGGCAGTAACTGCTATGAACTGAGTAGTCAGTCTTAAAATAATCATCTGATGCTGTGGGCTGTGAGAGAGTACAGTTGTGGTAGTTACAGAAAGTTTCTTGAGTGAATCTTTTGCCTTTGTGTGGAAAAGCAGTTATGGTTCAGACGAACCGTTATTCAGGAGTCAAAGTTGCACAAGAGCTTGCACATACACTTCAGCTTATTTAGTCAGCCCAGAAACCTCTATTTAGAGTATTTTTGGTCCATAATTTTTGCTTGTTTGGGGATGATGGTGATCTAGTTGCTTGCTAAAGAACCGTTCCACTCAAAGCCCAAGTTGCCACTGTTGACCTCAAATTCTTCTTAAGCACTGAGTCAAATCTTTGACCTTCTTTATAAGTTAACCGAAAGCTCCGTTTTGCTCCTTGCATGGAAATGGATTTCTCAGTCTTAAACATTCACTTTTTTGATAATCCAATATCTATGCTTTTGTAGGGATAATTCAGTTGGAAATGATGTCAGTTAAGGTCACAAGTGAAATGAGGAAGGCTGTGTATTAACTTTTTTTTTTTTTTTCCCCAAATGTGTAATCAAGGTGTAGGAGCATTAAGAATCTCTGGGAGTAAAAAAGACTAAAATTAAAAGCAGTGCTGTATTATCTTTGGGAACAATCTAATAGCGTTATTCATTGAGTGGATGTCCAATTTTAAATTTGTAGAATCAAACTTTTGCCATAAAACTACATACCAAAAAGAGACTAATAGAAGACATCTAAATGGCAAGATCAACCAGTTCAGGTTGCCTGTGAGACAGTCAAGGGAGAGAATCGAGGTCTAGCTCCTGCACAGCATGTGGTCCTGTCATTACAGGCTGTAGCTGTAATGCCATTGCAGGGGGTGGTCCAGGCAACTGAGATTCCCTGCTCATTACTTAACTTCGTTTTTCCAGAACTACACGGTTTACAATACTGAAGGCTAAATTTGGCTATGACAAAGCTAATACTTACTCCTCATGCATCAGCAGTGTTTAACCCAACATGGTCACCATTTTGTCGGTCTGCTGCCTCCTTAGACGCAGAGGAACTTGGCAATCCTCTCCTTGTCACTCCCTGGAGTAGGACAGGAGGCCCTGTCCTGTGCAGTGCTCCTAGAAGAGATGTTTTTTTCTCCCAGATGTTGCCTGTGAGATTCCCATCCAATATGTGCTACTGCTTGTCACTCTGGTGTCCCCATCAACCTGCCTCTCTAGACTTTTTTTTCTGCACACCTATTTTTGTGTGCTGTCTTTATGTTCGTGAGCTGTCCGAGGAGGAAAAGGAAAAGACTGGCTTTCCAGAGCTTTGAGAAGGCTTCCCAAGCTTGACAGTTCTCTTGCTGGAGAACTTCAAAGATCAGCAGGACAGAGGTATTGAGGACATGTGTTTCTGAAAAGTTCTTTTCACACAAATCCAGCAGCCTCTGTGAAACAGCTGGAGGTAGAGGAGCAGCATGCATCCTGACTTAAGTAACATTACTCCTATTACAGCTTGCTTTGTTGTGTATGGAAAGGGGGTAATGGTCATACAGTGAAATTCAAGAACTACTAAAAGTATAGCCCGAGTGATTTAGTGCTCTGAGGCTGCGGAAGGGTGGCATACTGCGATCTTTGTTTTTTCTTGTTGGTGTACTTATTTTAGAGTGGAAAGTTCACCAGGAAGCAGTGCAATAAACAAAGTAGAGTGTCATGACAAACTTGGTGATTAGATATTACTCTGCATGGGCACCTGCTAATTTCTGTGTTTCATTGCCACAAAGCGTGGATCCTGCCACTCCAGCTAGCCAGATACTCCTTTAAATATCACAGAGAAGAGTCCCAGGGCGCAGCGTGTGCCTCTCCGTAAAGAGTATCAGGCTGTGCGGGGTCTGAGGATCTACCTTTACCCTCCCTATCAGGGGAAGGTTTACCTGGGAATCCATATCTCCAGCTCTACTAGACGGATTCCCCCCCCACCCCTCCAGTAGTTTGGCCTGTGGTAATACTTAAAACCATTACTGCCTTATCGGGAACAGTAGTAACACTAGCAATGCAGGGATCTTTAAGGATTCCTCTCAGCAGCGTACAGTTAACCATTTCCGTCTTTATTTGAATCTGAGCACTGTAATAGTGAAGGCCCTAGTTTTATTGAACTGCTGTACAAAGAGAATCAAGCGGCGAAACGGTTTTCCTTGTACTCATAACCTGAGCAACAAAAAAAATCTATTTGTTTTCTCTTTAAATGAAACATTCTGCTTGTCCATTGTCTTACTCTGTAGTATGTCATCAGGGGCCTGGAAATTCTACCTCTGTGGGAAGCCAGTCTCCAGTGCTGTGGGGCCTTCACCAGTTATGGGACCTGTAGTGCAGCACAGCTGAGGAAACAATAGCAGCAGCACAAGTCAGAGCTTTCTTTCATGCAGGTTCTAGCGTACACATCTCAACAGAGGCACCCCATAGCAACCACGTCGGTGATCCTCGCACTGGCAGCGTTGTTGGGCTCAACTGTTCGTTAAAGGCAGATTATTTTACAGTCTCTTTGGATATGATGCATTTTAGTGCTTGCTTTCTTGTTTTTATTTAAGGGAGTTACTCATTCCTATATCCTGAGAGGTAAATGGAGAACCCTCAGCGAGGCAGAGGGACATACTAGCCCATTTCCGAGAACTCCACTTTTATCTTGTAAAAGGATTAGCGACCTAAAGCCAGTCTGAAACTAATCCTTTAAATGTGTTAACTCCAAACAAATGAGTTCCTGTGCTGCTCTGGCCTAGAGTGTAATCAGGCTTTCTATGAACTTAAAGCACTTATAGCTGAGATAGTCATGAAACAGAAAAACGTTTTACTTCTGTGGGCATTTGCCTGGTTGCATATCAGTTCTTTAATAGTAGAATAGTTGCCCTTGTTCATCCTGGTTATAGAACCAGGACATTTATATCTGCATGATAACTGACTGCGTCTGTTTACTATCAGAGTACCTGCATGTCAGGATGGCAACTTCAAATCTGGAGAACCAGTTGCACAGTGCCCAGAAGAACCTACTGTTTCTCCAGCGAGAACATGCGAACACACTAAAAGGTCTGCATGCTGAGATTCGTCGCCTGCAGCAGCACTGCACAGGTAACTTGGGAAAGGTGCCAATGCCGATAGTGCTCTGCTGATAAATATCAAAGTGCTTTATAAAGGGAGGGTACCCTTATCCCCACATCCATATAGGGAAAGCCAAGACAACAGAAAGGTTGAGGACTTGTCTGTGTTACTCACCAGATTTAGGCAGAGGTGAGGTCTTCTGAAATGCAGTGCTCAATCTCTAGCTCACACCGCATACCAAACCCAAAAGTCAGGTTTGGGAGCCATCTGAATCCTGGATCCTCTCTCTCTGAAAACCTCTAAAGAACCAATTCTTGTTTACAAGCCATGTAACTTGAGGAATTGTACGCACACAGAGTTGCCCCACTGAAGAACCACCAATATGTGAACTTAATTCTTCTTATAAGAAGGTGGTAACTGCTTCTTACTTCAGCAGTGAAACAAGCCCACCACCACAGTATATTTAGGATGACCTCATGTTACTTGAACAGAAATAATTCAGGGCACAACTTTGTAAACATTAGCAAAGATTTCCCTCCCCACCCCCCAACCAAAAAAACAACAAAACAAAAACACTATTTTCTGTCACTTGGCTGTCCTGGTTGTTTTACGGATTTGATAATCTACAGTGGATCTCCTACCCTTGCTTAAACTGGGGAGAAGAGCTGATTGTATTTTATTAATGTATGCCGTTGTAAATATGGTCACTGGATAGGGTATCTGTTGTTGTTCTAACAAAAATAAGCAACTTAATTTTTTTTTCCCCTCAGATTTAACATATGAGTTGACTGTAAAGAGTTCAGACTTGACAGGTAAGAAAAAGAGAAAAAACAGTATGGTTTTTTTTTTTTTTTTTTTTAAGTGTTCGTGTTGGACTTCTTCATGTTTCAAAATGTTTGAACTTTTTCCATTACAAGTAGGTGAGAATACTTTGCACTTGGATTATTGAATTTATAAGTTCCAAAGGTGTAAGAGCAGTTTTCAGCTTTCCAAACTTATCCATATTTATGAAGTAAATGTCAAATTTTTAACCAAGGTCACAGGAAATCTTTGGAAGAGCCAGGAATAGAGTGTAGAACTGCTGACTTTTCTCCATTACTTCAACCACTAGACCATCACTTCCCTGTATGCTGTATGGGAACAGAGGGTACAAATTTTAAAGGCAGATGGACACTATTATTAAAGCTCAGCTAATGCTGTAATTATACCACAGAGGTTTTAAAAAAAAAAAAAAAAAAGAGCGAGAAATTGGTTAACTACAAATTATTTCAGATGTATTATGTATCAACAGGTAAAGGATGGGAATTAAATGCTCCCTGGGAGTAGCCTCCTGAATCAGGAATAGCATGGGATGGGACATGTTGTATTGCAGATAAGATGATGTGGACAAAGTCAGCAAAGCAACTTGAGCAGCTCCACATGTGCTCACCAGAATGGTACTCATTTCTTGCTTCTGCAGCGTAGCTTAGGATTTTCACATCATAGGTTTTTTCAGAGTATGTAATCTGTCAGTGTTGCCAGTGTTTTGATACTATGCCAAACTTGTACACTCCCCAGTTTGGAGGGGAGGGTGTTGGACACTTTTTAGTCAATGGCCCTCCGACTAGGGTGCTTGCTACTGGAGAAATTCAAGCTGCAGATCTCTGCTGAGTAGTAGGTTATTACAACTGAACAGCTTCTCAAAGAGAAGGTGCCAGAAATGACCCCAGCATGCCCTGTGGCCTGATGGCACAGGTGTTGAGAGGGGTCAGCATCCCTCTTCCAAATGGCCTGCAGTCACCAATGCAAGACTTTCTGGTGTATGGGGTGATGGCTCCCGTTCTTGCAAAGAAAAGGCAACCAGGCTCGGACACCTCATCCCAAGAGAGACTTCTACAGCAGCAAATTCCCAGTGAAGATGAACTCCTCTGCCACTGGAGTCAAATGTTTCAACTACCTGTGGACGGGCAGGGCTTAAGCCTCTGCGCGTCTTCCTGGCGAGCTGTTACAGCTGCTCCATCATGTGTTTTAGCCAGTCTGGTATTTGCATAGCAGGCGGGGGAGAAGCTCCTCTTAACAGCCAGAGGACTTGCAAAACAGCTCCAATTTGAGCAAGTTCAGCAAGCGCTGTTTCTGTAATCCGCGTTTCCCTAAGCATGTGGAGCGCTTCTGTCTTTACATAGTATCAAAAGCTTTCTTTTAAACTACAGTGAGTGATGCTAGCTCTTCATCTTTCTCTGTAAAAGCTGTGCTGGTACTTCTGAAGACAAAAAGTGATTTAGTGTATTTCTGGATGTTAGTCTTTGGAAGTTTTCTTAATGGCTTTAATGTCAGAAGGAACCCTATTGCACTATTTTACTTAGTGGCTAAAATTAACTTGAAACACTTCTGCTTTTGCTGTTCTTCTAGGAAATGGTAGTTCAAGAAGCGATGAGCTTAAAAGGAAGTGTGAAGAACTTGAAGCTCAGCTGAAAGTCAAAGAGGCTGAAAATAATGAGTTATTGAAAGAACTTGAACAAAAAAATGCAATGATAATGGTGCTGGAAAACACTATTAAAGAAAGAGAAAAGAAGTATTTAGAAGAGTTAAAAATGAAAAGCCATAAGCTAAATATGCTGTCGAGTGAACTAGAGCAGAGAGCAAGTACCATTGCTTATTTAACTTCTCAACTACATGCTACCAAGAAGAAGCTGATGAGTTCAAGTGGGACTTCAGAGGGGACCCCTTCTGGCAGTCCAGTGTTGTCCAACTACAAACCAGCCCCTCCCAAAGATAAACTGCCTGAGACTCCACGGCGCAGAATGAAGAAGAGCCTGTCAACACCGCTCAACCCCGAGTTTGAAGAGGCCTACAGAATAGGCTCAGATAGCCGGAAGCTGCTCTTAAGAGAGCCTGTGGATGCCATGCCTGATCCCACTCCATTTTTATTGGCCAGGGAAACTGCAGAAGTACATCTTATTAAAGAGAGGCCATTAGTTATTCCACCTATTGCTTCAGACCGTGCAGCTGGTGAATCGCACAGTCCAGCCCGAGAGAAGCCACACAAGGCCCACATTGGGGTGGCACATCGCATTCACCACGTCGCACCGTCCCAGCCTCAGCCAGAGGTGGAAACACTGGCCGTGGATCAGGTCAATGCAAGCAAAGTGGTCAGAAAGCACTCAGGGACAGACAGAACTGTTTGAGTAAAATCATTGATGAAATGCTCTATTCTGTTGCTGTTTATGCACTGTGATCCTATAGGATAATAGCACCTGCAGTAAAGTTTCTTTTGATGCCCTATGCATGCCAAACTTCTTCCAGATCCAGCACTAATAGATTATTCTCCTCTAATGAAACCCAGTATGACTGTGTTCATATGGCAAGGTATATAACTACTAAATGCTGTGGCCAAATCAGGGGTACCTGACTGCTTGCTTCTGAGCACTGCTCCATTTATTGTAACGACACGTGTGGACAAAGGCACAGGCTGCAGTTTGCATTATTAATCTATTGGAAAGCTGCAGCAATATGTATTGGCTGTTACCATTTAAAGTATCGGTGGTTCTTTTGTCTTCACTGTGTATGTAACACTTCATACACAAACACTGACTTTCATGACAAAGCCTTTCTTATGGTAGCATTGAAAATAATGCAGCTGTACATACACTTTAAAAAGAAATAAGGATTTTTTTTTTTTCCTTTATGTGCTCTCAGTTGCATACTGGTCACAGTTCCTCTTTCTCAAAATTCTGAGTTCCAGGAAGCATTACTTGGTTAATCCTAAATACGTTGATTTGTGGCTTTGTTTTGGGGGGGGGGAGGTAGCTTCTCTTTAATGGCTAATGAGCCTCCTGGAAAGAACATGAACACTGTGTTTTGAAATGGTATGGCTCCATTATGTATTTTAGACTAATTGCACTTGTGGCACCTTCCATACTAGCTTGAGCGCCTTTCCCAGAGAATCTATAATTGGCTATCTGATATAGAAAGGGGTCTAAGCTAACTTTTTTTTTTTTTGTGAAGCAATTAATTAGTTTTGTTTCCTGCTAACTTGAGACTCATTCTGGCCATCATGAGACTACGGTGGCTTGTAACAGCTTAAGACAGTGTGCCTGGAATGTTCCTCTAAAACGTATGTATTTATTTTTAAACTTAACTTACTTAACCAAGTCACACAGGAACTAAGCTTGGCATCCTTGATTTTTAGCCTTGTGTACTAGGAAGGATTCATCTTCCATTATTTGACGTATTCTCATATGCCTTTCTAATAACCAATAGTTCCAACACCTGTTAGACCACCTGATTATTTTGTTTTTCCAGGGAAGAAAGGCATATTAAGAGCTGTGTGAGTCTGTAATTTTAGAGAAGGAGCACAAATTTGAACATTTTTTTTTCTTAAATTCTGCTCTGCATCTCCAGCTCACCTCTGCTTTGCTCTTATCTGCAGCCTCTGAGTAGGACCAGTGAGAAACAGTGGCTCTCAAGTGCTGCTAAGCTTATGATGTGCCTTCAGAAACATGGAACAAATGATCTTTGTTAAAGCTGATGAAGGAGCCCTACCTGCCCTCTTTCCTTCCTCTTGCCACCTGTTGTCTGCCCCCTTTAAGCTTTTTCTGCAGCTGTGTGTTGGTGCCCCCTGATCCACCCCCCCAAAAAAAAAAAAAAACCCTGAGCCTTGGATAACTGTTTGTCAGCTTTCCCAACAAAGCAACAAAGGCACTGGCAGGAGTGAAGCTAACTGTGGTACTGCTAAATTTCCTGTGCAGCATGATACCTTATAGCAGGGTTGTGCCCCATCAGTGATGGTTTGGAACATCCGCTAGCCCTAAAGCCCTGTGCACTCTCATGACTCAGTCGCTTGATAGTTTGAAGCCCAGGAAACACTCTCGTTTTGCACCTTGCTGGTTGTATAGTAGGATTTGCTTTATTAAATGGTGAGGAGGGAAAAAAGCTGTGTTCCTGGAAAATGGTTGGATTAAAAAAAAAAAAAAGGTTTGTGAGTCTATGTTTTACCATTTTTAAGTGTATTGCAGTAACCAGCACTAGTTTTGACTTTTTGTTGCCATATTTTTATGGTGAGCTACTGTATGACTGAACTACCCTGCCATTTGTTCAAGGATGATGGAAGGCATCTCTTCTAAGCACAGCAGAAGTGATGCTTTGGGCAATTAAAAACACTTCTTACAGCCGTACAGGCAAACTTTAGTCTTTGTGTGTGTTTGTGTGTGTGAGAGACTTATTGCCTCTTTCCTATACGTAAACCAGCCTGGACTGTTTCTAAAAGAAAATGCAAACGATCAAAACACTTTCCTTTTCAAATGTATTTATTAATACTAATCAAGCTGTGCAACAGCTTGGTCATAATATGCCATTTTAAAGTAAATCAGGTGACTTTTTATTCCTTTGTAAAAGAACACTCCCTAACCCGAAATGCTGCATTCTTGCCTAGTTTGACATTTATTTATTCATTTATCTATTTATTTATGTATTCATGCTCCCTAAAGCATCCTGTTCCCAGCAGTGGCTTTCTGTGTGGGGAAAATCCAGTGCCTAACTTTAAACCGTCAGTCAGCATTCAGTGTGAGACAAACACCTTGAAGCACCCAGTGGGAAATGTGCTGTGTGGTGTAAAGATCAGCTTCAAAAACCAGGCCAACACCCATGGCGTTCCTTCTCAGGGAAGTGGTATACACAGGTGTCCGGAAGGTATTCTGAAAGAGCATCGAAGGAAAGGAGGACACTGAGTGAGTGCTTGGAGTACTGCATGAAACTGAAAACTAGAATTCCCAGGATAGGCCTTCAAGAGAGATGACTGTCTTAAAAGGTGGATTTCTTATGACCTTTAAACACAAACACCTGAACAACACCTGAACTTCCTTTATGTCATTAACTGGTAATAAGAACTAAAGAAAAGAGTAAGAGGATTAGGATAGCTTCCCAAGATGCTTATTTCATAGTAAATAGAAAAGAAGTAATAAATAATACAACCTCTAGAAATGAAAAAAATTAAGGGACAGAGAAAGTTAATGTAAGAAGTGATAAGCTGCATACTTGATGTATTGGCAATAACAATAAAATACTTCTTGCAAGAGGATACATACTTGTAAGAGGGAAAGGACTACCAGCTCTTGAGATAGATACAAAAATAGAAGGAAATTTAGAAAGAAGTACCTGGAGTTTGAGCCTGTGGGCTTCAATGGGAATTATCTTCAGAATGGGTAAATCGACCACAAGGACTTTGGGCTTGCTTTTTGTAAGGCAGTTGTTTTCCATGTCCCAGTCTGCTCCTTCCAGATACAGACCAGAAACAAAACATCCTGTAAAGAGAGAAATGCAGCATCATCTTGTTTAAATCAAGCTACTGAAAAAGCAGTTTGATAAGACAACGGTTGTCCTTGCAGTAGCTAGGCCTTGATACTGTAGAGTTGCAACAACACTCACTGCATTGTTTCAAACTGCAAATATAAAGAAGTATTATTTTTTTTTCTGCAGTGGTTTAGGTTTTTTTTTTTTTTTGATTGAGTAATGACCTGCACAATTGAAAAAAAAAAGGGGGGGCTAAGGGAGGGGGCTTCCAAATGAAAAAGATTCAATTGTACTACTTTTTTTTTTTTTTTTTAAATGAATAAATGTTGATTTGCTTGCAGTTTCCCTCCCCACAGTGTATGACATCCCCTGGTTACTTGTCCAAGTAATAGTAAAGCTATAAGAGAGTTTCTGTTAAAAATCCTGTGGGACTTCTGGTTAGATCATGCTGACAAAAGGTGAGGGGATAGAGTTGGTCTAGTACAATACCAAGATCTTTTGCTAGACCATCAGCAAATAAAGAATAGTCTAGGAAGGCCCTTGAACTGACTTTTTTCCAAACTGAAAGTTTAATTTTGCAAAAGCATTCAGAGAGGGGGTTTTGTTTTAGTTTGGTCCCCCCCACACACACACACTCCTATTTCCGATAATCAGGGCTAGTACACAAGAGTTGCTCAGCTAGCCCTTTACCCAAAGTTTGTTATATTTAGTAATGAGCACAGGGCCAGTCCTAGAAAGTTTATAGAGACATATATTTACCCAATAAGTAAGTTAGTTAGATACATATTTGCCTTTTCTTTAAATGTAGTTAAATATATTAGTCATTGTTAAAAAAAAAAAAAAAGCTCTTTATAAATATGCTAGGACGAGTAATGTTCTCACTGTTAAAGAAAATAACTGTTAAAAAAACAAACAAATAAATAAATAAGCTGAAGGATAAAAAAAATTGTACTTTGTGTATAGAGCAGATGAGCAGCAAAGAGACACCTGAATCTAGCTAATTCCCAACTCTAAGTCATGTGGACTGTTAAATGCACAACCAAATACATTGTCTGTGGCAATCTAATCGAAATAATTCCACTTGTTAGACCAAGCGATTTGTTACCAAGGCATTGTGCCCACTCTTGCTCCCTCTCAGTCTCTGACCCATTACTTTTTTTTTTTTTCAAACTGTCAGAAAAAAAAAACAGCTACCTTGTCCAGATCCTTCCATGACATCTTCGGCCGTACTGTACTTTGTTACCTCGGTGTAGAGGGTGGACCGATCCAGGGGCCAGCTGTTTTTCCTGCAGGTGGCTTGAACGAGAGCTGTGAGGTAAGATTCTGGAATATGCAGGCCTGAGAGCCACATAACCTTAGGTTCGCTCTCGTTAACCTGCAATCACAAAAGACAACCTGCAGCTCCTGCTCTGTTCTCCCACCAGACCCAGTACTCAGCCTTGATGCCAAGTCTTTTAAAGACTGGCCAGTGACTGGTCTCTGTTATGCCCATAATCCTGCAATGAGTCTTTATCATTCTAGGTGGTGCCTGGCATTAGTTCAAACAAACTTATTTAAAGCAGTGTGTTTACTGACTTCTGCAATTTAGCACTGATTTGTGCAGCATATAATCCAGATCAACAAAACAAAAAGTTTTCTAGAATTTCTCACTTACCCAGCTGAAGTACTGTTGATACCTATTTCTAAAGAAAATCATCCAATTTCCAAGTGTTTTTAGTGTATCAGGGGCCAGCCGCCGCCAGATACCAGGAATCTGGCCATTAAAGAGAGCCCGAGCCACGTCATCTAGCTCACTGCTCATTCCAACTTCCCCAGCCAAGGCCTGGAAAGACAGTGAGAGTGTGAGTGCCTGACCAGGGGCCCTTAAAGCCTGACCAATTTCATCTAGTACCTGTGAGCCACTGTAGCAGTGCTCTTACTTACGCGCTGTAGTTCAGCCAATGACTTTGCCATGCGAATGATCAGTTTATTAAACCGTTCCAGTTCCTGCAACAGCACCACAGTTGTAGGGGATATGTCTATTCCAAAAACCTTTCGTATCTGGTCAAGATCAAATACTTCCGGTATCTTGTTTTCTATATCCTTAGCAACATTCCCGATATATTCGTCTCTACTAATTCCAGTACCAGATTCACCTGAAACAAAAATGGCTTAGTAAGACTAAAGCTGAATAATTTAGCCCTTCTATTACTAATTATG